GCCGTCTGAAACGTCGCTTCAGAGTTATCGAAAGGACAAATTGAGCCAATACTTAGGACTGCCGAAGGTCCCAGCGTGAGGACATAGTATGTCCATTCCTCTATTCGCTTGTCAGTCTACGATCCCAGATAAGAAGAAGATGACAAAAAGGGACACTTACCTATCATAGCTTCTTCCTTAACCGTGTCATTTTCTGCGATGTCGAGCCCGGCAAAAACGCCAGCCTTTCGGGCCTCAGTGCGGCTGCCGTGGATGGGTTGGAGCAACACGGCAAGACAGGTCCATATTTCTGTCATGTCGTAGAGCTGACTTTGGGAAAGACCTTCCCCGTTTCCGCGCCCGAACCCCTCCGGCGGTTCGAATAGGACATTGTTCATGCCGAATGGCTCAGTGAGCGACGTGGTCACGATGCTGTTACGGTCGTGGGCCATAACGCCGCCATTCAGCCAGTCCATCTGTCCTACTATATCATTCTCCCGGTTCTTGCCGCAGCCAAAGATCCGGCAGAAAGTCCAGATTCGCCAAAAGGCGTCATCGATTTCTGCCGCTCGGGCATCATCTTTGCCTGTCAGGCCATTGATCGTTTCCTGGCGAAGGAAGGTATTGCAGCGGGCCAGGATGAGTGACTTGAGTTGAGCGAGCGTATAGATGTCTTGAGCGTAACGTTGGAGATAAAGTGTGGGAGTGTATTCGGGGACAGGAGCGTCCGGATCGACGAGAATCTGCCATTCGCTATCCCAGGGCGGGCTCATTTCACGCAATTCCCAGGCTGGAGGGGACATGCGGTAGACAGCAGTCTTCATGAGATGTAATTCATGCTGTTTGAAAACGCGGTAGTACTGCTTGGAGACGACGGCTAGATGGAAGAGATCATCAAGGGAAGAAACTTGCTCCAGTATTTTGAGGGTGATGTCGTCTGGTAATTGGACAGCAGTTGTCTTGGAGGGTTTGTGAACTGAGATGGTAATCTTGGGATATGGTGATGGCAAACCTGCATCAAGCTCATAGACCATCCTTTGGGGCAGGCCACCTTCCAATTCGAAAAGCGAGTCTGAGGTGTTTAATCGTCCTGATTTGCTCGACGCGACAAAGATCTTCTCCTCCACATTGTTCGCTCGAATTCTAGGCATCGATCGCTCAGCGACCAGTTCGTCTTCCACAAAGCTGGATGTGGAGACGAGGTCTTCGTGGCTGCGCACTTGCTTTGTCTGAAGCCGAGGGAGTTTCAATCGTAATTCTCTTTCGCTGCAAAAGGACGATGATCTCTGTCTTTGGGAGGGTACTGGCAAGCAGGGAGACTGGGCCGCTCCAGCCGTATCTTCTGCCTCATCGTGAATGGTTTCCGGGCGCGGTGGGCGCTGAGGGCGAAAGGACGGGGATTCCACTTCTGACTTCAAGCTGGAGCTGCTGAACGATCGGAGATGAGTATTGGTGTACTTGCGGCTGAATCCAGGGACGGAAAACGAGAAGGGCCCTTTATTCTTCGTTTTCTTCATTGTTTTTTGTAAATCGCGTTCTGGTTTTTCGTGACTGATTTTTTGACTCGAGTTATCTTTTGACTTGATAGAAGCAATATTTGTAGGAGGCCTTGGAGCTGGTCGAGTAGCAATCATGTCCATGTTTCCCCTGCTTATCTGCAAGGGCCCGTTGAAGATCTGTGAAGAAAACAATTGGGGCTCATTGTGGCGCTGCTCGGTGATCCCTGCAAGAAAATTCTCCAATTCCTGAGCTGCCTGGGACAGAGTTCGCTGAGAACACGAAAGTCGTGTGGCAGGACTGGCCGGGGTTGTCGTACGAGGCCGGTCGCTGGAGGGACGCTGGCAAGCCTGGAACGGACGGGGGCCTTTGTGACGAACTGACAAGGGAGCTAATGCAATCGGGGGCTCCCGAGGGAGGGGCTTGTTTCTCACTTCATCCAGTGATGGACTTTTTACGGCTAGCTTGGAGGCCGAGCCTACTAGCACGGGCGCTATATCGTCATCAAAAACTCCTGCAGCAGCGGGGGAAATGACAGAAAAGGCATCGGCTGATTTGTAGGGGCACCCGGCTAGTTCGGAGCCGAGACTTGTCACGGACGATCTTCGGCTGTAGCACGAGGAAGTTGTGTCGAAAGTGTCTTCAGACAAGGACGGAGAATCGGTTCTAGTGCCAGAATCCGAGGAATTCTGTGGGTTTTGATGATCAATCGCCTGCATGTCTGCCAGAAGAGAAAAAGGTGTCACCTTAGGGATTGTGGTGCTTATCGGAGACACCAGCGAGAAATGCGACGACAGTTCAGGGAAGAATCGAGTCCAATGATTCCCTCTTGGAGGCGACCTGTCCGATAGTGGTGAGATTGCGAAATCGTCGTCGTCCGTCCATTCGTCGTCAGATGGTCGACTCGGGGAGGGATCGCACTTTGAGATCGATGTAACGGAGTGTTCTGAATCGGACGGCGGCGCGCCTAACGGGTCTGTCGTGCTCATTTTTAAGGATGGTAGCCTTTTCAACGGCTCCTTCCCGGAGTTCAGATCTCTAACCGAGTCAAGCCAGAAGGGCTGTGCTGTGTACGGTTTACCCAAGTTCGGAAAATGCGGTGTATGATATGATCCACGGATCTGGAAAGGGCTGGAGGTTCGTGCTTAGAGCTGTACAGTTGAATCACCGAGCAGATGTGCCTTTTTCAGGCGTATACATGATCATGCAAGATAGATCCGTGGCTTCGGGACGTTCTTTGTTCTCCTTGACAATGCCACTCCGGTCTATTCCTGGGCCACTGCACTGCTCTTCCTCACCAAAGTCTCGATCCTGGACAAGTCCAGTCCTCCAGTCGCGATGGTGAAAGATCCTAATAGTAGTTTCAGGTCTTTATCAGTCGGTGTTCCTTTTCTTCCCTGGTAATTCCGAAGCTGATAGAGATCGCCTCGAAATTGCGCTATACAGGGAACAAAGAGAACAGAGAAGGAGTATCTGATGAGACCAGTTAGCATGAATCTGTTCCACATGACCACCAGATTGCTCGGTGGGAAACGAACCAGTCAAGAGGCAGATATGTACAGAGTAGGACAAAGAGGTAGCACCATCGCCTGCCAAGGGATGAGTGGTCAACAGGGAAAACGACCGGCCAGGATACAGAGTATATAGTACTGAGATGCAGTACTAGTCTGGCAATTAATTACTGCATGAATCAATTTCAAGCCCTTGTCACCACGTGCATGGCATGGGTTGGGTTCTGGCAACAATGGGTCGAACATTGTTGGTGTTGGGGGGACATATAGACTATTATGGTCTATCCAATTGTTGGAACTAATCATTCTTTTCCGCAAGCTGCTTATCCAACCAAGCTACTTCTGGTCAAAGACTGAGGGCAAAAGGTTAACTTTGCAAGGGACGATCCCTCGACAATAATCCAATGATGATAGACGATGAAGCTGGTGACACGAGGAATGACGGATGGGGGGCCAAAAAGAGACAGGCGTGACCAGTTGGTTACTAGTGGTATTTCTCATCCTGAAGGACTTTGGTGTTGTACGACTTCGAGAAAGCCTCGCTAAGCTGAATTACAATTACCGTCATTTCTAATAATATGATTCTGTCCATCAGTGCAAGAAGTATTTCTTCAAGAAACGAGGATAAAATGTGTCCTTAGAGAGGTAATAATATCGTAAAATGAACGATGCTGATTCTATCGACGTCCACACTCGTATATGCAAATACGAAAGAGGTATCTACTCCGTTGGTAAAATGAAAGAAATCAAGAACACGAAGTGATATTTCGCTTTGTCGTATCGAGTCTTTTTTTGGCATCTTCTCGGCCCTTTGTCCTCGCATTCCCCCAGGCTTGGATGCTCCGCCATCGAGCCAACGCCACTGATCGGCACTTCTGCATCTTCAGGACGTCGGCCCCCGGTCCACTCCATCCTTGCGCATCGTATTAGCTCCTTGGTTGACTGGCTGCAGTCGTGCTAGAGTCCTTATCAACCTTGCTGGATTTCAGGAGGATTTCAGTTCAGGCCATCATGATACGGGATCTTGCTCAACTCTAGAGTCACTAGCCTAGTGTTCTGGGGGCCACACAGATAAGCCTGGGGCGTTGCTATCCTTATGGCAGTTTGGCTGTCCATCCAGCTATCAGTTGGTAACTTGAGCCTTTTTGGAACAATGACATTATCCCGTCCCTCTCTATTTATTTATATAATAACTCTGCCATGTCAACCAGCTGATCACCTCCCCTGCCGAGTTTGGCCACATTCCTACCGCTTACCTGCATCTTCCTCGCATGACGGAGACCAGGCATGACCCATGGAATTCGAGAATGATTCATCACGAACTGGAGTTCATCCTTCGGAATAGGAGACCTCCAGTCTCCAAAACTGTTAGGATGTAGACATACTGCGACCAGATCTATTTCGTTTGTTCGTAAGCCCACCTTAGATCCGCTCCGTTGTTGAAGACGTCACTCCGTACAGCCTACATCGACCAAACGACTGAACAACCAACTGGCCCCAACACTCCGCAATCGTCGGTAGAACTCCAAGGGGCAACGTATTGTTGGCGATCGACTAGATCAAATAACCTTACCGTCGCAGTAAGGCGTTTTCGGGAAGTGAATCTGAACTAATGGGCGTGTCTCACATACATTCGAGTCAAGCTCAATTGCTGAGGTGATCGCGGAAGGGTGCAGGAAGTGAGTATCCCGTCTGAGCTCAGCAGTTTTGCTGAAGCCAGTCATGGATATTCGCCTCTGGCCCTTGTTGGATGATGTGCATCAGCGTTATTAGACGGAAGTCGATTTAATTAAGGCTTAATCTTACGTAGATCCTAGATAAAATATGATGGCCACGGATGACCAGATAGGATAGTTGGTACTATTTGTTGTCGAAATTCTATCCAACTTCAGCCCCCAACGGCCCCATACCAACCAACACCAACCCAACATCCTTTCAGTCTATTCTTGTCTACAACCAGAGCACAGGGCCAACAATTGCTGCACCATGAATCTGCCTTATCTGGGGCCAACATCACCCAGACATCAGACTCAGATAAACCGCCCAGATGACGCCAAACAAACTACCAACAAGCAATCGCCTGTCTGCGGGTACAACCGTGAAGATGAGAATCGATACAAGAGGCCAGAGCTTGAATCCAGCAAGCATGATGGGCCAAAAGTCCTGTCGGTGCATCAGACCTGGGTAATACCCTCGCTACGGTAGCAGAGAAAAAAGAATACACCCGAAGAGAGTAGCAGCAGTGAACTTACATTCTGAATCTGTGCCTTGACGACCTCAAAATCCTGTCCCCGTAAAAGCCCCATCGTCATAATGAAGGCGACAGTGTTGATCGCGGCGCCGACTGTCTGATCAATCACGACTTTTGCTACGATATTCTTCACGTTCAACTTTTGCTTCCCCTGCTTCGAGCCATTCTTCTCAGCAGTAGACTTGGTGACAGACGTATCCTCACTCGAGCCCGGAAACCTCGATTCCAGGCCCTCAAGCCAGACGTACGTCAGCGGCGAGAGTGCAAACGCACATGTCGTGAACTGGAACAAGGCCTGGAGGTCAAGTTCGAAGGGTGTCTACCTTGTGCGAATCATCGCCATCGCTCGTCAGAATCGACATCATTCCATTTCATGTTAATGGAATTGTGCATGGTTGGTTGCTAGCAAGGATATGAATAAGACAACATGAGATCGAATCCACGTACCTGATCTCTCCATGCTCTGATTCCTTGCGCAAGGACATTCGAACCCGCATTTACGAGCGCAGCCTGCAAGGTTGCCGTTGCAATCGGGGGTAGAGACATATCTGGCAATGCGCGAGATAGATGAGATGCGCAAGCGACCCGGTAAATACGAGTTACCCCTTGTAAATAGAGTAGTGGACTGGGGAGTCAAACAGGAGGCTTGGCTCTATTTTTGCATAGATCAGCACCTAGTCAAATCTAGTCTTTTTGTGCGAGATACGAACCAGGGGAAATCTTTGGCGCACTTACTGCAGACTACTTGGGAAGCTCGTGTTGCGTGGGTTGGCTCTGTCTGCGGTAATGATGTCAACTGGCAAGGCTCGAATTGTTCTGGGCCTGGTGAGCTAAAAATACTATAGAAATTCAGATGAAAAATTTCGTGTTCACCTCTTTTAGCCAATGGACCAGATGGGTGGATCAAGCGTTATGAACTTACGGACACTTTGATCGAAGTGATCGGGAAGAAGAACACGAGGTTACGAGGATGCTTGATGTTGTACAAGAGAGGTACTTGAATTTTGATCTCTTCGATAATCAGGAGGTGGAGTTGGTGAGTAGATCAGGGCTCCAGATAGGTCCCTGGTACCCGAAATAGTGGAGAAATGGATATGCGGAAAAGGGAAAGTTGACACGTCGTAGTACGGAGAGGAGACTCAAAAAGTCAGTGAAGAATGTGTCAATTCAGGATGTTGATTGGTGGCTGGCTTTTCGTTGCCAATATAGTACCTCTGTGGTCCCATCACAATCGATTAAAAAACAGGAAAGAGATGCTCCCAAGTTACGGATCTAGTAGGGAACTGCCTTGATTATGCATTGGTTCAAGATATCTGCGAGTATCGCTGCTTGTAGCTCGCTCAGTGCTATGCTATGCCTACTACTTGATTGATCGCTTCAACGCGGAGACGGCTACCAGGCCAGACTTGGGAATTTCTCGCCATGGCATTCGAGCTCTCTGCAAACTGAGATGAGTCAGTGAAGCTACTCTTGATCATCCGGCTCCGAATTTGCGACCAAGGGGTTATCGACTTACGTCGGTCGGCCTCCTGGGACTTTGGCGTCATTCGCGGCTGCCTCATCGCAGGATGCACTTCCATCCCTTGCAGCTTTTCGAGCTTAGTATGCCTTTTCAGCTGCTCGAGGATCACCTTTTGCAGATCTATTCAACATAAGCATCAGTGTTCTCCAAATATGGATACTGAGAGCCAGGTAGAGACGAACTCCACTTTCCCAAGCGAGAGCGAAAATCCCTATCTTCTGTTGTCGTTGCGGTCACACCTCCCTGGGAGCTATCCTCAGCCCCTCTGGCTCGTAACTGATACTGGCTCTCCAATTCGGCAACTTGTTCCGTTATCATCTCAATGAGCTTATCTGAAATCAACTGAGAATTGACATCGCCATCCGTGTTCTGGAAGCAGTACAGATCATATCGAACCAGCGTCTTTCGCTCAGACGCCGGATGGAAGCTGAGCGAGTACCAATATCTGGTATCCTTGATGATATGAAACGAGACATTGGGAAATATCAGAACATCAGGGTCTCCTGCAGTCTTCCTGTTCAAATAATGCTTAACTCTCACCAGCAGGGATGAGCGCACAAGTCGCGCAAGTCCGGGCAATATTGCAGTAGTACTGAACTGCTTCTCAGATACGACTTGTGCGGAAAATCATCAGGGTCCATTGAGGCTAAAGATGGCAACAGGGCAGAACTTACCAGCCATTTTCCAATTGAATACTCCTTCGATAGCCTTACCCCCAATCCACCGTGACTGAGCTTTAGGCCCATTACGTTTCACGAAGTCCGTCAGACGGTCGGTCTCTAGCAGTTCACCTGGTGCATCCGCTTCGAGATTCACAAAGATGAAGCCGTCGGTGCTCTGTTGAACATGAATAGCAAACAGACCATTCTGTGATTTATCGAAGCCAAGTATATTTTCAAAATGAGGGGCTTTGATAAGCTCGCCTTTCGTGTTGTAGCTCCAGCCATGGTAGCGACATCCGAGAACGGTAGAACCTCCTCGCTCTTTATTCGCGACCGTGTACGCTCTATGGCGACAAACATTGTGGAAAGCTCTAATCTCACCATCTTTGCCCAGGATGAGGAAGAATGGGAAGCCGGCCACTTCGAAGGACTGATAATCGCCAGGTTTCGTGAACTGGCTGCGGTGAGAAAGATACAGCCATGACTGTGATCCACAAGTGTTAAGAGATCTGAATTTCGAACCCGGAGCATGTTTGTTCGGGCTTACCTTGCTGAACACCGCGCGCCGTTCGAGTTCAAAGATATCATTGCTATTCAGCCAGTTTTCAGGAAAATCCGATTCCTTGGAGACAGCTTGTCTGTTGTCGGCCTCTGGGACTTGAGGGAATGACTCAGATCGTCCTATGAGGAGCGTCTTCGGGTATACCCCACGGGGCCAGGCTCGACATAGGAAGACGATGGCAGTCAACAGTGCCACAAGTATTGGTGTAGGCGGGGTCAGAGCCTCCATGGCGATTCTCCAGCGATTTCTCCTGTGGTCAACCCCGCAGCGTCGGGGAGCCGTTGAAGCATTTAAAGGACAGCAACTTTGATGACCCCAAGGAAGGTCAACTCCATTCGTTACCTGATGGGGTGCATGAAGAGACTAGACTCGTTGTACAACTGTGAGTCAACCCTATAAGTCAGCAGGCTTGCTGCATATCTTTCCAGATTTGGTGGGCTTTTCCGGTGTACAGCTGTTTCATGCGAGGGTTGCAGTTGAGAAATGACTGTTAGTCTTTGCTGAAGCTGAAGGCGATTCTGATACGTTGGACACGACATGTATGAGTCTATGCTAGTACTAACGGATACTTATGAACAAACATGCAAATCTAACAGCCGTGTCTACTATGCGGCCGCTCCGACCTGCTCGGCATTTATCTCTGATTCCTTCAATCTGGGTGCGGAGAGATCATGGCTTGCGCTTTCCGCAGCGTGCTGCTGGCACACCAGCTCAAAGACTCTGTCTTGATAGACTGTGACGCATTAAAACAGTTTTCCACATCAAGCTTAGCGGGCGTCAATCTTATACTCACATGAAACTCCGTTCTCCTTCTCTGGATTCAGGATGCCTTCGCTGTATACGCCCTTTTCCAAATTACCTTGCGCTTTCTCGCAAAGCTCATAGTCCTCCATCGCAACCTGTCGAACGAATTGGTAATACTCCTCAAATTTATTCCCCGACTCTCTGTGGTAATAGTCAAATTCCATCCTTGTCTGGCTTGGATCTTCAGCCGGACAGACACGGAACGAGGACATGCCTCCGCCATAAACGTTGAGAGTGCAGTTGGGGAAGAAATACAAGAACAGTCCGTCGTCCGGTTTCTTGGGATCAGCGACATGCTGGGAGAAGTTCTGGTGATTGTTGACAGTATAGAATGTCGGGGGATAATAGATAGAGAACGAGGGATGTGTGTATTGACAATGTAGGCATTCCTGATAACCATCGACCCTATTTGGTCTCCGTCAGAGAGATTTTGATAGCCAAAGGGAGGATCTTCCTCACATCGTCTTCCAGTTGAAGTGCCCTTCATATTTGATGCTGCGCCTGTATGGCAGCTTGGTGAAGTCCACCCTTCCTAGCAATGCCTCGAGACCCGGAAAGTACTCCTCAAAGTTTGGAGCTTCGTCCGACAATGTACTAAAGACGAGACCAGTAGGTGTGACATAAGAGCGAAGCGTTCTGCCCTAAAAAATGATGAGCATCCACAATATGGTGCGCAGGAACGAGCAGAGCGTACTGTCCTCACACTGACGACCTGAATCTCATCTGGACCAGGGAAAGTCGCGTCTCCAGAGCTTCGAAAGGCGAGAATCGACTGCTGGGCGATTTCATACTCGACTTTCTCTCCTATGGTCAAGAACCTTGTCACAGGTCCGAGTAGATACCATGACTATGCGGTTATAAGACATTTTTGTACCATTCACACGGGCAGCGTCATATACCTTGTTGAAGATTGCCCTGCGCTCGAGCTGATAGAGCGGCTGGCTGCAATACCAATTAGCTGGAAGAGTTCGTGCTAACTCAGGCATTTTTGAGCATTTAGCAAATACATCCGGCCATCTGGTGTTTCTTCTATCCTTTTAAGCTCCTTATCTCTGGACATTGCAACCAACTTACTGTCCTGTTGTAGCAGAAGAAAGGAAGATGTCCAATTGGATGGGTATATCGTTTCCTTAAGGGGTTATAAGATCCCTTAAGCCTCTTGCTATATCACACAGAATCTTAGGTAATTAACTTCGCTGTGGGCGAATGATCAATGAAGCATATGCATACGAGGGTGTCTGTCCTGCTGATAGGACCAGTGGTTGCATCCAGACGAATCACAGTAAGGTACGTAACATCATTTGATAGCAGGGATCTCTCCTTGCAAAGGATGGTCAAAGAATAGGCAGCAGAGGCTACATAAAGGAAGATGAAACATGTTACTACTCAGTGAGGTGTACAAAGGTAAGGACTCAGGAAAGGCTGAAGACAAAGATGTACAGCATGAACTGACACGTCTTTCAGGAATAAAAAGGAAAAATCTCTTCCAAATAGAGTATCCTCGATACAAATCCGGTTCTCCTTTCTCTGTAGCCGAACTGATGTTGACTGTATCATACAACAACAATGATGATCTTTTCAAGGTCGAATGTTTTGCTGCTGCCTACTGTGGGCTTGTGTGGCGATGGAGAGTGCTCTCGGAAAAGTACCTCTTCAAAACATATTGCAAATATCATCAGAGACTCAAGAAAGTACTCTAAGGGATAGTAAAGTGACGAATATTCAGCATCAAACTATTCCTCTAGTGTTTTGTGGATTTGATTATCTTTGAAGTGGGACAATCAATCAATAATCAGGTGCCCCACGATTACGTCGTGATCTCATTCTCCGCGCTCAGTCATTGCTTTTGATTTCACCAGCTTCATTCACTCAATAGGAAAAGAACAAATCCAAATCACAGTCTTTCGCATGATGAGCACTTTTCTCTGAAATACATCTCATCAAGCTCCAAATCTGCCATCAAGAATGGCGGGCTCCGGCACCAGATTCACTCCTCCTCCTTCGCCGCCGTCACCGACGGCGTCCTTCTACGATGTCAGCGACGCCGAGGAGGATGAATACAATAGCATCTCCTCCACATCAGGGAGGGGGGTGAAGCTTTTGTTCTCTAAGAGCAAGGTTAGTCTTGACAGATCTAAGAGAACTTTCGCATAAAAGGCCAGAGCTGACCTTCCGCTGTCTTCCTGAGTATTGCAGGTATACGTCCATCCGACTCCTTCCTCCAAGGACAATATCCCTGGCTTTATCGCTCTGCTCCAACAAAAACCAGCTCCTACTACGAGCAGCAATATCGCATCAACAAATAGCGCTAACACCACCGCCGACCTCTCCTCATACCTCCTTGCCTGGGTCCCCGAGTCATCCCTCGGCGACGCCTACAGTACCTATGTCAAAGTCGACCTGTCTGGTGACTCTTCACCCCCGAAGCAACGATATCTGGTACCACCGCTCCCGACTACAACTACATATAAAGATCCTATAGGTCTATATGCGTTCGCCGTACCGCTATCCGAAATTTATTCGCTGCTAGTGCGACCTCCTAGCTTGGGTTGGTGGTTTGGTAGCCTGGTGATCAATACCCGGGCTGGTGATAGTTTCCCGGCGCTGTTCTTTCACGATAGTGAATGCGAATCAACGATACTGCAGAAGAAAAAAAGGACAAGGGAAAGTTTTGACCCGTTTGGTGAAAATGGTGGCCTATTCTGGGGCGGTGACGAGGTTCTGCGGTGGCTCCGGAAATTCGTTGAGGTGCAGCGCTCGTCTGTCGACAACAGTGTCTATCTGATCAATCCCTCGGAAGAGGACCGCATATCTTTCGCACGGCCACTCAGCAGTTATGACGGATCAGTAACTAAGCAAGGGCACGATGCAGCTGCTGGCCCACATCAACCCGGTGGCAGTGGGGAACGAGATGCCGGAATGGATCCCTTTATGAAAGCACTCAAGGAAACTAGATGGAAGGTCCTTGAGCAGCTCAGCAAGATTACCACATTCACAAGGCGGACGGCGAACGAACTTGCCGATAACACCATGATCCCTCCGCAAGTCCGTCGCCTGATGAAGACTCCTGAGATTCAGACCTTGCAGGATGAGTTCGATAGCGCCAGGCTCTACTTGGCTCGGTGGGCCATGAGTATTGCTGAGCAGAGTGAACGAGAAAGGGCTCAGCGCATATGGACTGCACGGGATGTCCTGGAAATGGAAAATAGCTCTGTGGGTGATTTTGAAATTTTGGAGCTTGAAACTGGAACAATGGCGATTCAGGAACGACGCAGAATTGTCACTTTGCAGGAATGGGAGGGCTTCTTTGATGCCACCACGGGAAGGCTCAACGTTACTGTAGACGAAGTGAAGGAGAGAATTTTCCACGGGGGCCTTGATTCAAATGATGGGGTCAGAAAGGAGGCATGGCTTTTCCTTCTCGGAGTGTACCCTTGGGACAGCAGCCGCGACGAGCGTCAAGCTCTGATGAATTCCAAACGGGATGAATACATCCGGCTAAAGGGTGCTTGGTGGGAGAGAATGGTTGAGGGTTCTTCCACTACCGAGCAGTATGAGTGGTGGAAAGAGCAGAAAAACCGCATAGGTATGCTTGCTTCCCTTGGAGGCATTTGTGAATTCAGCTGCTAACATATCGGTATCAGAAAAAGATGTGCATCGTACAGATCGCACGATACCTCTCTTTGCAGGAGAAGATATCCCTCATCCCGATCCAGACTCCCCCTTTGCGGACGTAGGGACGAACGTACATCTAGAGCAGATGAAGGACATGCTTCTCACCTACAACGAATACAATCCTGACCTGGGCTATGTTCAAGGAATGAGTGACCTCTTAGCGCCAATTTACGCGGTCATGCAGGACGATGCAGTCGCATTCTGGGCCTTTGTTGGATTCATGGACAGAATGGTAAATCCCACACATATCCGCCCCAAATCAACACTGCTTACACAGACCAGGAACGGAATTTCCTTCGCGATCAGTCTGGCATGCGCGCCCAGCTCCTAACCCTAGATCACCTGGTACAACTTATGGACCCCCAGTTATACCTCCATCTCCAATCCGCCGACAGCACGAACTTCTTCTTCTTTTTCCGGATGCTCCTTGTCTGGTACAAGCGCGAGTTCGAATGGGTAGACGTCCTACGTCTCTGGGAGACATTATGGACCGACTATTTCTCCAGCAGCTTCCACCTCTTTGTCGCGTTAGCAATCCTAGAAAAACATCGCGACGTAATCATGGACCACCTGAAACATTTTGATGAAGTTCTTAAATACGGTAAGCACGTCACCTCTACCCTAACGCATGTGACCACCCTATTAATCAACCTAAAAGTCAACGAGCTCTCAAACACCATGGAGCTCGTCCCCATTCTCACCCGCGCAGAATCCCTTTTCCGTCGCTTCGAACGCACAGTTGAAGCAAT